TGTAGGTGAATGTGAAAATCTCTGCGTGTAACAGCGTGCGCTTCAATCGCGCTGTAAATGTGCTACTCGGACCGCATGCCATACCGAGGCTAGTGATGGGTGTAGATTAGTTCTACAATCGGTGCGGTGTGTTGGAAGGTGACTCGTTCGGTTTGGGCGTGCGCAGCGTGCCGTTGCGTCCGCCGCGGCCACGCCGCGCCCTACACGGGGCCCGAGACCTCTCTCGCCTCGGCGGCGCGGCGTCGGCGGCTGGAGCGCCGCTCCGTTCTCCTTTATGAACTCTCGCCAGCCGGGCGCTCATGTGATTTTTTGAGGTTGGCCCTGGCGGGATTTTTAACAGAAGCTTCTTTTGGCCAACGTGCAAAGCCGGGCTCCGGCTCCGCCGCTGATTTTTTATTCAATAGAATCATTGGGGATTGAGCCTTCGCGGTTGGATTTTGACAACGTCTGTTCGTCACGTTTGTAAATGAATTCAATTATAAACAAATTTGTTGAATTAAATTGAACATTACGTCTGTATTACTAATTTCCATTGTGCACAGAAGGTGCAAGAAAACTATGCAGCCACCGGCCATGCGAGCGGTGTCTACGGTTTTGTTAGATACCCAGGCACTCGGGAAAGATCCAAAAACAATGAAACAGTTTCCATTTCAAGTGCAAGATGCAAATTATGTTATGGTGCGTATTCTGGTATTGTGCGTACCCACTGAATTCACATACTCAGTGCGTTACTGCTTACGACTCAGCTGGCGTCATTCGACAGCAGGGCTCCCAGGAATAGGCCGCCCGCCGTTCAGTATATGCTAATCAAGGGTTGCGTTATGGAAAAACAACGTTCTCGGTATTTAAAGAAGTGCTACACAGTGTGCAGGATTCGTGAAGACTGTTTTGTTAATTTATTGCAGTGTTATACGAGATAATTTTCTTATTAGTCCTTTAGCACTGAGCGTGTATCTTTTGGACAACCATTTTGTGGAGTTACAAGCAACTAGTGTCTTTGACTAGCTAACGACTTTGAAGTTCCTCGCGAGTTTCACGTGGAAGCAATGCATGCACACATCGCTCCTTCGCTTCACGACCTCCATCTGTTAGAAATCCACCCTGAAACAGCGCTTTGGAGCTCTTCGGGGCGTTGAAAGCGGCGGGCAGCTCGTCTGCTGGCGATCGCTCCTTCGGAAGAATGGTCGGCGCGAGGCGAAGAAGCACGCGGCTGCACGTGATGCTGGCCGAGGGAGCGGGGAGAGCTGTTGACCCGCGCCCCAGCGACCCAGCCGCCCGCGAAGCCCTGCACTCGCGCCCACAGGAAGCGAAGCACCCAACAAAGACCTCCTCAAGGGCACGACTGGACTAATACCTCTAAGGGACAATTCATTCCAACATCAACATGAATCACTAAACGAATGTCATCGAAATTAATATTAAAATAAATTATTAACTTTCCAATTCAAATAGGATTAAAATATTTTTGGCTATTATGAATAAACTACCGGAACGTTCAGCCCTTCATCTCCCTTCGACTCTCCCCTCTCTCGACCACCCTTCTCCCACTCTCTCCGCAGCAAAAATATAACAGAATGTTCAAAAAGATTTCGCCCTGTAGATTACGGTGTGAGAAACGTATTTTTGTTTCTAGGGCCCTATATGCTTCCTTTAGTAATTATTTAACGATATAGATTCTTCGTGCGGAGTGTGTTGCGTGTTGAACTGGAAATGAATATTTATTTTGTTCTACAGCGCCATCTACTGAATTTTTTCGATATTTTAATAGTTATTCTACCACTCTGAGCGGAAATCAGAGATAATTAAAACTGGCTACGCCGATTTTGAGTTATAAATGGTGTAACTAACTTTGATATATATATATATA